TGGAAATTATAATAATATATAAATAATTTTAACTTATAACACAAGAAGCACACTTAAATACTAGTTGAACGTTAGAATGAGATAAGCGATAGTGATATTAAATGTTGCTGAGGAGATTGGAGGTGATGATACATTTTATTGAGGTGGCAATTGATTTGGGKTTCTAATTGAATGCTGTTGAGAGTGAATCCAGAAGCATGGCATTTCTCTAACCTGTGCGTATATACGACATTCAGTAAAATTGTTTTTGATATCGATCCAGACTTACACGTAGATCACACTGGAGCATCTTCTTTGGTAAAATATTTTGTTTTATAGTATGTGSCACATATTATAGATATTGTTTTAAGAACCATTTTGAACGTGGACATAGATAAACTAATGAGAATACAGTGTAGAAAATTAATAAATTAATCATATTGTAATATTAATATTCATAGTATTATAGAAACAATCGGTTGCAATTTTTTTAATACATAACGTTAACTAATACTTACCTACGCTTAATTACTACAAAAAGTTCAAGGTGGATAAAAATCTTTTTCCTAGTTTTGCATTGTTTMATTTATTTTTTTAAACCTTGACAATTTAATCCCTTAAAAACTTTATGAGGTATCTAAAATAATCTAAATAATATTAATAAAAAACAAAATGTAATTATTTCCTTCSGTGTATCTGTTCCCTGTATACGGTTTCATTTGTACGCCCTTGAGATTTAAAGGAAAAAAAGTCGGGAAAAACAGAATTAACACGTCAGTTTTAAATATATAATAGCAGTGATCTCCTCGTCTAGATTTGAAGAATGATAATATGTAATAGTGATGTCGTGATTTTAGGTCAGACAGCTGTGACCGATGATGGAAGACTGAACATTTTGTGCATATAACTACAGCAACCGTAATTACTGTTTTTTTTTTGAATACGATACAAAAGAACGTGTCAGACTTTTTTGTCGTTTTAATATTTACCAATATAACATCATGTCCTAGCGTTGAAAAWTGTAATTGATTGRACAACATTACGGATAGATCTACACCACGCACATAATGTATTAAAAAAACTGCAATACAGAAATTAAGGTCGTATACTAAAATTTTCTCGAAAAAGTTTTATATTTCTAGTTTAAGTTTACCGAGAAAAAAAACACAAAATAAATAAAAGTAGCATAGTCCAAGTACTTTTTTTTAGTGGTTTTTAGTGATCAGAGTTTGGATGTCAATACAAAAAAGGTATTATTTAAAGAATTAAAGATATTTTTCTTGCACGGTGGTGATTAAATAACAAATGGAACATTTGAAACATATATATATATATATATATATATAGTTTATAGCTCTATTAATTACGGAAATAAAATATTATATTTCAGGAGTGCTTAACAACAGTAAAAAAAATATATCAAATAGTTATTCATCATAGGTTGATATTTAAATAATACCTAGATGTATGACGTGAAAAAGACGTAAGCATATTAGTATATATAACATATTATATATAAATGGTTTGTAACGACACAGAATTCTGACTATAGCCGATACTCCACAGCAAGTAGCTGGAGATGTCGACTATTGCCAACAATAGAGTGCGCTCATGGACCGTCGGTACTATCATGTACTATGATTACTATTAGAATATATGGCCTGCACACCCGTTGGTACCTCAGACGGGGTGGTGGCGGTGGTGCATATGTGCATATAAGAGACCCAGCAGCAACACCAACTACCAAGAGACACTCCGTCACCAGATCCGAAATTAGTAGTGGCTGTCTAGTTAGTAGTGGGCTTAGCTTTGCCACCTGTTTTAATAGGTCGGTTAGTGGAGCTGGTATCTATCTACTCTGCCGGGCCAAGGCTAATAGTAGGCTCTTAGTTCGCGACATTAATTTACTTTTCGTGCCCAGTACTACCGCCGCCGAATCCGAACGCGCCGTATCCGTCTACCGAATTTGCTCATGGTTTATTAGTATTGCCGCCGTCGAACTTAAACGCGCTGTTGCTGTCTGATACCGTCGAACAACTATTTCACTAGGTCCAGGTGAACATCCCGGGATAACATAATATGCTATTATTCATGCCCATCGAGCCGCGAAGGAAAAAGATAAGAATCTGACCGCGTTATCATATCAACACGGTAGTAAGTACCTACTTCAATTATTAATTGTGATTGGGACTGATTCTTTTTTTTTTATTTATTTATATTAAGCCTCGGCGTCAAAGGCCATTGGCGTTGGTTTACAATAGGTTAATAATATATATACAATTATTTACAGGTTATATACAATTTATAAGCTTGGACTTAATTATAAATGTTATCAAATTATTAATGTTGTCTGGGTGTAGGGCTTCTGATAAAATGTTGGATACACCTGACCCCGTTTGTCCGTTTCGTATATGCGGCATTCGGATATGATGTGTTTGATTGTGAGAGGAATACCACAACTGGCACAAATGGGAGGGTCTTCCTTTTTCATCAGATAT